GAAAGCCAGTGTTCACATGTAAATGTACAGTGATTTTGAAGTACTGTAATGGAGGCAGTGCATGGCCTTCAATAAAGATCATTTAACTCAATGTTTGTGTGATTTCTGAGATTGGTTTAAAGGACAATCAAATGATACGATCCCAATGGCTTCCCTTGCATGAAGTCTCCATGTGACCAGAATGGTTCTGTGTTGGCATTGTGGTAGGCAATGCACAGTACTCAGAGCAGTTTCCATTTAACTAGATTTCTGTTGGCATAGCACCCATCAAAATGGGGTGACAGGACATTCTGCAACCAACTTGGTGCCAGATGGAGAAATGTTAACCTTTGGTGTGGATTCATGGAAGAACTCTGAATGTGGCTGCTGCACTTGAGAAAAATGGAGCCGCAATGGTTTTATCTTAACATCTGAGGCAGCACATACTGCCACTACAGGGTATGCAATCTTTGGCATTCCAGGTGTTGTGGACTACATCACCCATAATGCTGGCAATGCATCATGGGGGGTGTACTCCAAAATATCTGGAGTGCCAAAAGTTGCCTATGCCTGCACTAGGATGTAGATGTTCTAGTTACAAACTGCAACATTTTTAGGTTGAAGTACTTACTTGATGCCCACAGACCAGACTAACTGGTTCTCTGAGTAACTTTCCACAGGCTAGGCATCAAACACCTGCATTGGTAATGACTGTTTCACAAAATGCTGCTTACTCGTTACAAGCGGACATTGGATTTTTGTCTGAGGCTGAATATTTGATTAGACTAAATGCATATACACAAATTCTATTCTTCCCCCCCCCAATAGTATTAATCACTTGAGTGGAAAGTGTAGATCAGCTAGGAGGATCTAGGAAGGATTGGACGAATGGTGAAAAATGACTTCTGTATGGGCTGCAGAGGATTAATTGGCAAGGGTTTATCACCTCTCCACAATGTATAGCTACAGCCGACTAAGCATTTATGTATTTTAGAGTGGGTTCTACTTTCACTCTTTTGCAAAAAAGGCAGGTGAATTGCATTTTGATACACTTCCTGGTCTGCTGTCGGTGGCTTGATACAGATTTAGTTACCAGTAGTCCAATCTGGTCTGAATAGCCATTATTTCTGATGGCAGCACAGCACCTACATCAAGCATGTCCAACTCAAAGGCTAACACAGGTAACAAACAAGGTTTAAATTTATGTGGGCTGCAAAAACAAACTTTGATTTAAATAGGCACATAGGTATACGTTTTCTGAAGTACCATATAAAGTATGGGAGGGTTGACTGTGACCTTGGTGCACGGTTTGTGGCAAAGCTGTCTTATGGCTTTGTGTATTCAGGGGTGACTGACAGGATGAGGGTGACATTGTTGAAGTGTTACAGGGTGAGTGGAGGTAAGTAATAGGATTAAGGGGTCATTGTGACAGTGAATGGGGCATAGCTGGAAGAGTGTAATAAGGCAAGGAGGTGAATGACAGGTTTAAAGGGTGCTGAGTGACCGGATTAGAGGGGTCAGGGGTGGACTGTGGCACAGTTGGAGGGAGTGTTACAGGACAATGAGCATGACAGAATAGGGGTAACTTGATAGGGTCAGTGTATCAGGATTGGATGGCTGAATGATGGGATGAAGGTAGAGCTGTCTCACTGCTCTCTGAATAAAACAGAATAATCCCCACCTAATATTTTTAAAGTGGAATATAAAAGTGTTTAAAAAGCCAGGAGATGAACTAAAATAAGGTGATTGGCACAATAAGCAAATGGTGACAAAGTCCTTTTTAGAACATATTAAAAATCCATAATTTGTTAGGGGAGGTGGTATACTGTAGTGTGGAGGGGGTTTTCCTCTCAGACTTTTTTTTTTTTTTTTTAAAGGGTATATTCTTAATCCATTCCCTGGTCTGCAGCTCCACCACGTGCAGAGCAGCAGACCACATGGTAATTGCCTGGAGATGTGAGATACTCCTGTCTGCACCTGGCAGAGCTGCAGACTGTAGTGCTGGCCATTTCCCAGGGCAGACTGAAGGAAGGGCCTCACACCTGGCAGTGTAATTGGCAAGCAGCCGGGCCCTCGGTCATATTCCGTGGACCTGACCTGTTAGTCTGCCCTAAGGCAAATTAGGGAGCTGCCTCATTGTGGGCCGCAAGTATGACATGCTTGACTTAGAGATGACACAGGGAACTTGTGCGGCCGAGGACTCTGTTCAGCCTATTGCAGGTTCTGTGCTAAAATTCCCTCACCAGTTCAAAGCCTTTAGAGGATTCAAACACTGCTAAAAATAAACAATTTAGAAAGGGAAGGAGTGATGGGGTGTGGAATGTCATTCAGTGCTGGGTTCCAGGCAAGTTTTAGATTTACAGGGTCTTTTAACAATGTGGATGGACACTAAAATAAGCCCTTTTTGAAACCAGTCCTTTATAATACCTGGAGTCCATTCACAAACCTCAAAGTCCTGCCAAATTTAGCTCAGACACATTACTGGGAGTATTATTGCTGTGGAGCTCTGTTATACACTCGGACACATTACTGGGAGTATTATTGCTGTGGAGCTCTGTTATACACCCAGACACATTACTTGGAGTAATATTACTGTGCAGCTCTGTTATATACTCAGACACATTACTGGGCGTATTATCGCTGTGGAGCTCTGTTATACACTCAGACACATTACTGGGAGTATTATTGCTGTGGAGCTGTGTTATACACGCAGACATTACTGGGAGTATTATTGCTGTGGATCTCTGTTATACACTCAGACACATTACTGGGAGTATTATTACTGTGGAGCTCTGTTATACACTCAGACACATTACTGGGAGTATTATTGCTGTGGAGCTCTGTTATACACTCAGACACATTACTGGGAGTATTATTGCTGTGGAGCTCTGTTATACACAGACACATTACTGGGAGTATTATTGCTGTGGAGCTCTGTTATACACTCAGACACATTACTGGGAGTATTATTGCTGTGGGCTCTGTTATACACTCAGACACATTACTGGGAGTATTATTGCTGTGGAGCTCTGTTATACACTCAGACACATTACTGGGAGTATTATTGCTGTGGAGCTCTGTTATACACTCAGACACATTACTGGGAGTATTATTGCTGTGGAGCTCTGTTATACACTCAGACACATTACTGGGAGTATTATTGCTGTGGAGCTCTGTTATACACTCAGACACATTACTGGGAGTATTATTGCTGTGGGCTCTGTTATACACTCAGACACATTACTGGGAGTATTATTGCTGTGGAGCTCTGTTATACACTCAGACACATTACTGGGAGTATTATTACTGTGGAGCTCTGTTATACACTCAGACACATTACTGGGAGTATTATTGCTGTGGAGCTCTGTGATACCGTCAGACACATTACTGGGAGTATTATTACTGTGGATCTCTGTTATACACTCAGACACATTACTGGGAGTATTATTGCTGTGGAGCTCTGTTATACACTCAGACACATTACTGGGAGTATTATTGCTGTGGAGCTCTGTTATGCACTCAGACACATTACTGGGAGTATTATTGCTGTGGAGCTCTGTTATGCACTCAGACACATTACTGGGAGTATTATCGCTGTGGAGCTCTGTTATGCACTCAGACACATTACTGGGAGTATTATTGCTGTGGAGCTCTGTTATACACTCACACATTACTGGAGTATTAGTTATTACACATTACTGGGAGTATTATTGCTGTGGAGCTCTGTTATACACTCAGACACATTACTGGGAGTATTATTGCTGTGGAGCTCTGTTATACACTCAGACACATTACATTACTGTGGGGCTCTGTTATACACTCAGACACATTACTGGGAGTATTATTGCTGTGGAGCTCTGTTATACACTCAGACACATTACTGGGAGTATTATTGCTGTGGAGCTCTGTTATACACTCAGACACATTACTGGGATTATTATTGCTGTGGGGCTCTGTTATACACTCAGACACATTACTGGGAGTATTATTGCTGTGGGAGCTCTGTTATACACTCAGACACATTACTGGGAGTATTATTGCTGTGGAGCTCTGTTATACACTCAGACACATTACTGGGAGTATTATTGCTGTGGGGCTCTGTTATGCACTCAGACACATTACTGGGAGTATTATTGCTGTGGAGCTCTGTTATACACTCAGACACATTACTGGGAGTATTATTGCTGTGGAGCTCTGTTATACACTCAGACACATTACTGGGAGTATTATTGCTGTGGAGCTCTGTTATACACTCAGACACATTACTGGGAGTATTATTGCTGTGGAGCTCTGTTATACACTCAGACACATTACTGGGAGTATTATTGCTGTGGAGCTCTGTATATACACTCAGACACATTACTGGGAGTATTACTGCTGTGGAGCTCTGTTATACACTCAGACACATTACTGGGAGTATTATTGCTGTGGAGCTCTGTTATACACTCAGACACATTACTGGGAGTATTATTGCTGTGGAGCTCTGTTATACACTCAGACACATTACTGGGAGTATTATTGCTGTGGAGCTCTGTTATACACTCAGACACATTACTGGGAGTATTACTGCTGTGGAGCTCTGTTATACACTCAGACACATTACTGGGAGTATTATTACTGTGGAGCTCTGTTATACACTCAGTTACACCAACATGGAGCTCCTATTGAAGCTGGTTTTGTTCTGGCCTTTACAGACATCACTAACGTAATAATTCATATTTCTACATGAGATCCCACCCTGTTTGGCATTCACTGGCTGAGAGCCACCCCATTATAGTTTTCCTCTTTAATAACATTTAGCTAAATTATGTTTCAACACAAGAAAATAATGAAAACAAACTTTAAACAAAAAAAGCGTTTATTTCCCACATAATGCTTTTTGTAACATGGTGTTACCCATACTCTTGAGTCAACATGAGGCTTGGAACGCAGAGTAGCCCACGTGACTCGATTTTCATCTGTGATTGGCCGAACTAGCTCCAGAATAAGGCTTAGATCACATCCTTACTTTGATTGGCTGAGCTGTTTCCAGAGTGAGGCTTGACACGCTTTATTCCTATGATTGGATGAACGGCGCTCACAACGAGGCTTGGATAACACATGGAGGGACAAGGCATCAGATAAGGTCAGAATATGCATGATGAATAACCTGGAGAGTCCCAGTTTGTGTCACATGCCTCCCATTTGTCATTATGTGGGTTAAATTCTCATTCAGGATTAAGAATCCATTAGTTTGATTCTATTCAGGTGGCAGACTATCAATGTGTGAAGGTTTCTCAGTTTCCCTGTTCAATAGCTTATTGTTATTGGCAGGGCCTTCTTTATTATTGATTGGACCCTGGGCAAGCAACTGCTTGGGCACCCTGGGCATGCAATCACCCCCTCCACCCCAACCTAGAGGCGAAACTAATGTAGAGAGTGCCTTGGTGCAAAAAAATAATAATTCAGGCCTGCCCTGTAGCACAAGAGTAAAGAAAAGATAGATCCCCATCTGTCATACAACTCCTGCGATGCTATGCCAGGTGGGGATCTACCATCCTTGCAGGGTTGTATTTTTGAGCAGTGTTTGTTCAAATGAATGTCAGCATGTTATTGTATAGAGTGTATGTGTGCATGTAGGAGTGTATTTGTATGTACTGTTACCATTGGAATGCAGTGGTGTACTTGTGTGTAGTGTTTGCGTTTGAATGCAGTAATGTGTGATTGTCTGTAGTGTTGGCTTTTAAATGCAGGTGTACTTTTGTGTGTAGAGTTGGTGTTTGTATATAATTTTAGCGTTTTAATACAGGAATGTGTTTGTATGTAATGTTTGTATTTGCATGCAGGGGGTTGTTTGGATGTAGTGTTGTGTACATTTGTGTGTAGTATTGGTGTTCAGCAAACTGGTGTGTTTGTATGTAATGTTTGTGTTTGCAGGGCTCTGTTTGCATGTTGTGTGATTTCTATAACACATATACACATACACATTAACACGCAGATACACACATAGGCACACTGACACATGCTCACACCTTGACACATACTGGCACATACTCAGATACACACCCTTTGACACACAGATACAAGCACTTTGATACACACATACACTGGCACATCCACACACAGAGGTACACACACACACTGACACAGGTATGTACACACACACACTCAGATACACACATACATAAAGGTATAAATGCAGGGGTGTATATGTGTACAGTGCTAGAGATGGAGTGTATTTGTGTTGGCATTAAAATGCTGGGATGTATGCATTACCACACACTCAGATGCACACTTACACACACTGACACACATACACACACAAACACACACACAGGTACACATACACACTACACAGGTATACATACACACAGAAACACTGACACACAGACAAACACAGCCAGATACAAACACTGACACAAACACAGCCAGATACACACACTGACACAAACACAGCCAGATACACACAAGGACATAAACACAGCCAGATACACACAAGGACATAAACACAGCCAGATACACACACACATATATGTGTACATTTACATATTTTAATCTCTGCCTTCTAGCAGCTCTTGGACAGCAACTCCCAGCAACCTTGGCCATAATAATGTCTCAACTCTGTTCTTACATACCCTGGTCCAGAATTTGGCAAAAGTGACATTTGGAAATGGTATACAGCCTTTGATAACACTTGATGCAATAATATGTTAAAATAAATACTTTTAAAATTTATATTTAATAGGGAACTGTCAGGTTCTTCTAGGATTTTTAACATGTACTTATTCCCTGTGTGTTACATTACCAACACCTGAATAAAAGTGATATCAGAAATAAGCAAAACAAAAAAACAAAACATATTTAGCTACCCTCCTGTCTCCTTACATTTTGGGTACAGAAAGGTGGCTTCCCTGGGGTCCAAGAGAGATTGCTGGCCCAGGCTGATGGGAGTCTGCCATCAGCTTTCTCAGTCCCTCTCCCCCACAATGCTTGCATCCTCCTCCGTGTGGTGTGTGCCTCCTCCCCAGCGGCAATGAGGAGGAAGTGATCTGACCTCACTGCCTCCCAGCATGTCACGGAGAAGAAAAGGGATCACAGGGCAGCGTGTGAGGGGCTAGCTGTGTGTTTGTATTCAGCCAACCCCCATATTACAAGGGCCCGGTCCAGAGCAGTATTAAAGGGCTGTGGCCCCTGATTGCCTCAGGTGCTGCAGGGGGCCCATGGGGCAGCTGCCTTAGGGCCCCCACGAGTAACTGGGCCCGGGGCAGCTGCCCCTTTTGCCCCTCCTTAAAGACGGCCCTGGTTATTGGTATTTTAATCTTTCAACACTATAGTCACAGCTTTACGACTTTAGCTTCAGTTTTGCAATATGGATTTTAGTTTGTGCAACCTGAACCCAGTAAATAGAAGCGGATTCTTTTTTCCAAGTAAGTTACCGTTACCGAGCTGTAATTTGATTTTCAGAAAGAGTACAATTTGCTATTTGATTAATAAATCCCACAGGGAATGACTGATTTTTCTGAAACTGTTCTTGTCTGTTTTTTGTGGTGATTGGGGAGGGGGGAATGAAAGTAGAACAGGACACGTTTAATTGGTAGCAGTGTTAATTTGTGCGGCTAATTTAAATCTAGTTTTAGTCAGTCATAGTCTTTTGACTAAAAAGTCGTATTTTAGTCATCTGAATTGTTTTAGTCGACAAAAATTGTTAGTTGACAAAATTAACACTTATTGAGAGTAGATTGGATCCCACATTGTAACTGTGACCTGTGTACTTATACATAACGGCAACAAGCTGAGCTAGAAACATGAAAGACTTTTTTTTTTTTTTAGGTTGAATTCCTGGCAATTCATAGTTTAGTAAATAACTTTTGTAGTGTAATTTATTAATCTTGTACAATAATAGAACAATTAGATTTGGCACATTCCTCATCAAATAAAGGGCTAATTATGATAAAACCAGGTATTAACAGAGCTGGACGGTGTAACATTTCCACGTGTAATTGAATAAAATACCATGACTGCAATAGTTAAATAACGTGGGATTCAAAACTCTCTGATAGCAAGCCTATGCTTTTTTTCTTCTTCTTCACATTCAGTGAAAGAAAAATAGTACGTACTTCCTGTGCGTGTAATAATCATTCAGAAAAATACATATGCAGATAACTGGATTCTGTAAAAAGTTTGATAATATACAACTTGTGCTATACATCAAACTGGGGAAGCATTGAAAGGTAAGATGAAATGCAGAACGTCGTAATAATAATAATATAATTGTGAGTGAGACAGCGCTTTTGCAACTTTGCTTAATGTTCAAATAGTGTTTTATATTTATTGTTATTGTCTTATTTCTTCACAGGAACTCATTATATATTTCACTGAATATGCTAACTTTGAAAGATCCTTTCTCTTTGTTGAACAGTAATCATGGCAGCTTCTGGTATAGGAAGATGTACATGGAAACGGTATAATAATCATGCTATAGTGGCTTCGCATTTCTTCAAAAATCTAATTTCTTTGAAACACAGAAGATGCTCAGGAGGTAACACTGGCCATTCTATAGAAGAATGTCTTTTTGATCTGTGCAAGCGGAGACATTTTATAAGTGGAGACAATCTCACTAAAACATCCCTTCTACAAGGATTCCATAGCTTAGGACCTCTAGGGAAAGAGCTAAAGAAAAACCTTGTGACTCAGTGGTGGAACTCAATAGTCTTATATAGAGAAGAGGTTTTAGCAATTGATACCTTGTATCATATTCCTTTACAAGCCCATGCATCGAAAAATCCATTGGTAACAATATGTAGTGAGTCTTGGAAATCACATCTCCAGGGTAAAGACTGCACTCAGGACAAACCAGTCCCTCTACTGGAAAATACAATAAGACAAAATGGGGTTCTGAGAGAAGATCTTCTTTATGGTAAGCATGTTTCCATGAAACCTGTAGAATTTTCCAGCGTAATTAGAGATATTGGTAATAGCCGTTTGGTAATGTGGCATTATAACATGTAAATATATGTTGATGCATTTAATGTTGTGCAGCAGAATTCTATGTGTTTGAACACAGTATGTGCACTGAGTTCCATATATTTGAATTTGCACTGGCATTATGTTATGCCACACACTATTCATTAAACCACAATAACTGTTTATCCTAAGTAACTATTTGTAGTGAATTAAAAACAAAATTCTAATATTCAGGCTAGGATAGCTAAAGTTTGGAATGTAACTCATAGTGAATGCATTATGTCAGATTATGCCGTGTAGATTGTGTGGCAACTTCCCATAATGCATAGGGCTTCCATATTTCTTTCTTCAGGAAAACCAAAGGAAAAGGCACATTACAGTGTTTTTAAAATTCTTGCTGTCCTATAGAATTTGTGTTTGATGTGTGTGACCTGATCAGTGACTGTATCTTATATACTTAAAGTAAATTGACCATCATTTTTAATAATCTTTATATAAATATTATAATAGTTTTTATAGCACCTTTTCTCCCTGTGAGAGCTTTAAGTAAGGTGCCTCTATGATTGAGCAAGGCAAAGAGTTGATGTCATATTCCAGAGGGAACGGGCTCACAAATCCCAGGCGCCAGAAGAAAATTCCTGGTCACCACGGTGACATGGCGCCTGGGATTTGTCAAGCCCTGTTTTATAAGGTCCAGAAGTTTCCAGATTTTAGTGAACACTGCACTATTTTTGTGAGGACTGGGACGAGTGTTTCCATGCATGCAGATATAAGATGAGCTGGAGAAGGGTCTGAATCACACGTGTGGCGCAACTTATGGTTGGTTGGTTCTTTTAAAGGGACACTATAGTCACCAGACCAACTACAGCCTAATGTAGTTGTTATGGTGAGTATAATCATTGTATGTAGGCATTTTCATGCAAACACTGCCTTTTCAGAGAAAACAGCAGTGTTTACTTTACAGCCTAGGGATTCCTCCACTGACCATTCCTCAGATGGCTGCTAGAGGTGCCGTTCAGCATCTCCACCCTCTGCATGGAGACACTGAACTCTCCTCATAGAGATGCATCAATTTAATGCATCTATAAGAGGATGTGCTGATTTGCCAAAATTGTGTTTGGCCCCGCCCCATCACACCTCATTGCCGATTTCAGCCTATGGGAAAGCATAGGATTGGCTAAAAATCGTAAATTCTGATGATGTCACCAAGTAGGTAGATCGGCTGCGGGGTCAGCGCCGGCGGACCTGCGCGGAGCTGGAATGAGTTTTAACTTCTTCTTCTAAGGGGGGACACGCCACCTAAATGTTGGATTTAACACTGTAGGGTCAGGAATACATGTTTGTGTTCCTGATCCTATAGTGTTCCTTTAACTACCTCTTTATCCACATTTATAAACGTAGATCATAATCTGGGGCAATCTAGCATTCCACTGTAGTGGTTCTGGTGTATAACTGGTTGGCCTGCTATGGTGGAGGAAATCTTGTCTCTGAAGAAGATCGCAAATTCTTCACAGAAGTTGGTGGGGATATGCATGCTGGTTGCAGAGATTTTGCAAAACAGTTGCTGGTCTATTGTGGGAGAATCATTTTGCGTGACAAGAATTATTTAAGGGGCTAGTTACTAAACTTGGGAAATTGCTCATTTGAAGCCAAGATAGCTGAATTGAAAGTATTTGCCTTCCCAGCTTTATTTTTTATTTTTATTAATCTTGGCTTAATTTTTACAAAACTAGTATTTCCCTAGTTAATTTTCAACAATTTGACAAATGAACTCCCAGATGTTTAGAGAATCAACTGCATATACATCAAATTGTTGTTAAGCCAAAGAGGTTGAGCTATATCAGGGGTGCCCAAAATGGTAGATCCCCATATGTTATAAAACTACAACTCCCATGATGTTTTGCATACTTTTAGGATGCCTTTAGAATGGCAAAACATCATGGAAGCTTTAGTTTTAAAACATCTGGGGATCTACCTACTGGGCACCCCGGAACTATATCATCAAAACAACACTGTTAATCCCCCAATACCCCTAACAACATCTGAAACCATTAAACTAAAGAGACTGGAGTGTTATTGAAGGAACCACACATAGACAATTGCCATTTTAAAAGGTAACTTTTATTATTGCACCATAAAAATTCAAACCAGATTATCACCAAGTGCCTATGGTACTAAACAAAACAAATCCATTATTAAACCAAATAGTGATTTCTACAAAGAGATCCACTAGAGTCGACAGCTCTCAAGTAGTTAATTATATATAGAAAGGAGAACATAACCGAAATAAATATATATAGATTGTCTCAAAAGTGCTTAGTTGATGAAAATGAATCATAAATTCTTCATATGTAAATTAACATGCTCAGCTAATTGCTTAAAAGGAAATGTATAGAGACAAATCACTTGTTTTGCTTCACAAATTGCTGTATACTCACAAGGATTATCACCTAAATTGTGATTTCAAAGCAGATCCTATAGATTGCACTCTGATATTTGCATAGATTTGTCAGTTTGGTTTTAATTCATATTAATTAGTGATTCATCCCCTCCGAGTCTTAGGATTCTTTTGTCCCCCACATGTTTCTTAAATTCAGATTTTATTTGTAGTTGGAATAAATCAGCTCCCAATCTTTTATTGAGTCTCCTCTGTTTTCAGACATGTGTAGTCAGCTGTTCTATAAAATTAAAAATGTGAATTATGCAGCCCTGGCTACTCAAGTGCTCATTATATTTAGAATTCATTTTGCCGGTTCATGACATAATTCTTGCGCTACCCATTTTCCACCACTAGATGTCCCCCCAGATAGATAAAGCAGCATGTTGGGTGTTTTTTTTTTTTTTTACTTGTTTGTTTTATATTTATTAATACAGTGGGAGGTGAATATGTGGTTTTGAAAGGCTCACTTTATTTTTATTTTTTTTCATTTTTCCTGTGTTCGCAATCTGAGCACTATACACACTAGCATCATGCAGGCTCTGACATACAACCCTTTACAAACACACACATTCAGGGAAAAATACAAATTTCTTATATTAAATCCTTAAGAACATGTGATGGAAATTATCCGTCATGTTGTAACACTACAACTCCCACAATGCTTTGAATGCCCTTCGAATGATAACACATTATGGAAGCTGTAGTTTTTTAAAACATCTGTGGATCTACATTTTGGGCACCCCAGGTCTACAGCATTTGCTCCCCATACTCAATGAGTTTAGGGTATAGGAACGAGCAAGTAGGGACAAAATTGGTCTGAATTGTCAAGGTTACCCATCACTGTTTTAGTAATGGACAGATATCTGCCACTGTAGTATAACTCACATGATGCCTGAGCTTTATGTTTTATTGTCTGAGAATTTTGGGAGTTTTCTATAGGAATTTTTTTTTTTATTGGTTCTTTCAAGGGTGGCCCAAAGCCAGAGTTCTGTTCACTGGTTGCAGTTTGCATGCCCACAATTTCTCTTTACCTCTTCTGATGTAGAAAACTTAAAAGACACGGACCGTTTAGCAGGAGACCCAGTGACTGATCTGGTTACCAAGTTTTGGATTTGTATTGAAATTTAAGTCTTTTTTTGGCAGTATCAGCAGAGGATAAGATGATGCTAAGGAAGTGACTGGGGTGGTTGTAGTAAGATGGCAAAAGAAACTCTGAAGGACAGTGGAGTGATCGGGGAGCTTGTTGGTTTAGCCAATAATCAATAACCAATACAAGCTAGTTTGTGAGTGTGATAGTAATGTAGTTCAGGGAGGGTACAAATGCATCAAGGATTAATCACATTTTATAGAGTACGCAATGACAATCCTGCCCGCTACAATTATCTGATCGAGAAATGCCAAGTACAATTTGGGATAACACTTCTCTTTTTAAAAATGTTAACTGGGGACTGTCACTTCCTGGGCTTTTTAAAACAATATTTACTTCTCCCCCAGGTGCTCTGCAGCAGTACGTCTCGTGTCTGGACCTGATGAATAAAAAGCTCCCTTTTGGCCTGGCAGAAATTGGCAAATGCTTCAACCCCATTCCAGACAAAAACGTTGGAAAAAAGGTCTCCAGGTAAGACAAAAACATTCTTATTGTAAGCAACAGAGCAATAAGCTGACGGGTCTGTCTACAAGTTTATTGTTAAACTCAGAGTTTTGTTTAACTATATAGCTATCAATCTGAATCTTGGAGAATGGGACGATGAAGACGTCTAGATCAGGGGTGCTCAAAAGCTAGAACTACAACTCCCCTGATACTTTGCCTGTCTGTGCATGCTTTTAGAATGACAAGGCATCATGGAAGTTGTAGTTTTGGCACCCCTGGTCTAGATCATTGATTCCAGAACCAGAGTTTAGGCATTTCTCAGTTCTGTCCCAAGACGATGTTGACTAAACTTTGATTTCCGGTGTTGCCACTGATACACGAACTACGAACTGCAATTGAATGTTGTTGTAACAGTTACTGACTATTAACTGTAACTCTCGTGAAGCATATTCCCTCTTTTTCTTTAACTTTTCATTTCTTTTTAGAATATACAATGTTGCGTACAGGATACTCTTACAAGTATTGTGCCATTTTCAGAAGTTACAAGAAGAGACAAAACTATGTGTTTCCCCTTTTAGCAATTAAAGAGAAGTAGGATTTCCAAGAATACAGAGAATTTGCATTGTCGTTAAAGGAACACTATAGTCACCTAAATTACTTTTGCTAAATAAAGCAGTTTTAGTGTATAGATCATTCCCCTGCAATTTCACTGCTCAATTCACTGTCATTTAGGAGTTAAATCACTTTGTTTCTGTTTATGCAGCCCTAGCCACACCTCCCCTGGCTATGATTGACAGAGCCTGCATGAAAAAAAAACTGGTTTCACTTTCAAACAGATGTAATTTACCTTAAATAATTGTATCTCAATCTCTAAATTGAACTTTAATCACATACAGGAGGCTCTTGCAAGCTATTAACATAGCAGGGGATAAGAAAATCTTAATTAAACAGAACTTGCAATAAAGAAAGCCTAAATAGGGCTCTCTTTACAGGAAGTGTTTATGGAAGGCTGTGAAAGTCACATGCAGGGAGGTGTGACTAGGGTTCATAAACAAAGTGATTTAACTCCTAAATGGCAGAGGATTGATCAGTGAGGCTGCAGGGGCATGTTCTATACACCAAAACTGCTTCATTAAGCTAAAGTTGTTCAGGTGACTATAGTGTCCCTTTAATCTTTATAAGATATGAAAATCATGGAACCAGACTTTTGGGAAAGGAAGCAAATTCTATGTACATTTCCCCCTATTCTAGGATGATAAATTGGCACATTTAATATTAATTTGTTTACAAAATACACCCATCCCAGCCTGTTTGTGATGCGATTAAAAACAAGTGACTGGAAAAAAAATAAAAATTTTGATGGTTTTCAATGACTTGGAGAGCACTCTGTATAATTTCCTAATTATATTTATATTTTTTACATAATATTCTGGATAATTGCAGAGGCTACTTTACCTTATGATCCCTCTTTCTGCAAGACCATCTAGCATGTAACATATCAGCTGGTTAGAATAGCGGTAACATCCCAGGTTTGAATCACCACCCCACCAGTGAGTGTGCCTGGCCAAGGCATCTAACATTGTGTATCCTCCCACCTCTAATCCTCATACATTGTAAGCTCATGTGAGGTTTCTCTAATTATAAAGTGCTGCAGACTATGTTTGTGCTTTATAAACGGTAATAATAATAATTAGAGCTTAAAGGGTTTCTCCAACCACCATGACCACATTTGTGTGTAAAACTGGACATGTTGGTAGGATACTTTGTTCTGGGCTGCTTAATGTTAATTCTGTTCAAAAAGGACATCTGTTGTCATCGCAAACTGCATGTACATTCCCTTCCTGATTTCAGCCTCCCCACCCCCACACATTTCTTAATATTGCTCTGGTTTTGTTATTTTCATTCCCTCCCTTGTTCGCCCCCTGACTACCTCCGTCCTCGCTGGCTCAGAGAGCATGTATGCATCCTGAGCTGGGAAGATCGGTCCTATCAAATGCTTCTCTATGAGGAATATTTGATTGGATCTCGTGGAGGAAGGCATGATGTCAGATGGGGCGTGGAATCCATTCAGGGGAGTTTTGTTCGGCAACATTGTAGGTAGGTTTTTTTTTCTTCTTTTACATGGTTATTTATTTTTTTTTGTGGTGGACGGAGGTACCTAATCGTAATGCCCAATAGGATTTTCAAAATTAAAAAAACATATTTTTATTATTAAAAAAGTAAACCTTTCAAGCTTATCTTAATTTCATCATGGGTCCCTTAATAAATAGCGTCCCTATACTTATGACCTGCGTTCTGACAAGTGCCACAGGAAGTACCTGTGCAGGGCTTAGCTTATTGGCTGAGCGCTTCAGCAAGTCAAAATGTGCAAAACCGGTTTGACTAATTACAATGGTGGGTGTCGGGGCACTCCAGATACCATAACCACTACAGCGCACTGTAGTTATATTGCTTGGAGTGTTCATTTAACTATACCTTGTTTCAGGGCACAATTTGAACCTAAAAATTAAATTTAAAAAAAGAGGGGTGCAACTCCTTCAGAGTATCTAAAGATGTGGTTTTGATCCTTTGTGTTATTGAGACTGTCGTATAACGTTTTTAAACCATGAATTAAATCCCACAGTTTGAAATATTCCTTACATTTACCCAATAGTAAATAGAATGCAGTAAAACAAAATGTATACATTCTAATAATGTATAAATAAAGATAAAGACCGAATTAAGAGAGGTATTAAATGTTTCAGGGAAACCAAACTTAAAATGATTACTTCCAAAACACAGTGTGCTCCTAATGATAACCTGCAGATGTAGATAATTACCAAATCAACACACACAAACATACCTACATTTGTATTGTAGTAATTTGCTGATCGGTCTATTGTGTGATGCAATACATTCCTTAAATGAGCCATAGCTGTAATAAAGTAACTTTTGGTGGTGAAGGAATCTGATGTAGTGAATCTGTTTTTGTTGAAGCATAGGAGAACAGACACTGGCATCCCTGACCTGGTTCAGCTCTGCAAAAACTGCCAGCCAATGGCGCGATTACTGGCTGCGTCATAGACTGCAGTGGTGGCAAAAGGTGAGTCTGTAAAGGATTAATTGGTGCCATGCAGAATGATGGCTAGTTAATGCGTCAGGATAGCACATCTTCATTAAGTCTCCATGTATAGTCCAGGATAGTCTTTACGAAATCTAGAACCTAGATGTTCCTAAACTACATTTCCCAAGATGCACCTGTGGTGCCAAGATTAGTCACATATCTTATTTTATTCATCTGTATTTACCTGATCTAACTCTTCCCCCCTCTCAGTTCGCTCAGAGTCCATCCAGCTTCAGTACCAGCGACCATCAAGATGACCAGGGCAGGAAAGTGTCTGAGATACAGTATCGCTTTCCCTGGGGAAAAGAACCAATTGAAAGCCTTTGCAGTAAGGATGACTCCACTCTCTTACAGATGCATCCTGGGAACAATACCCAACTGCATGTAAGACATTGCATTTTAATCATGGGATTTAATGTATCCAACACTGTGTGACAGAAGCCGTACTTCTCCTAATCCTTTCACGGGTTTGGTAGGATGATGCAGACATCACGGAGTTCTCCAGCTGTTAAGGCTTTTTTATCTTTTAACCATGAACACTCCTTGCAGCTTATGGACAAGGGGCTCCTGCAAGTACATGGGTACTTGGACCTGCAGCCATAGTGCAGCACATGTCCGCTTAGATATTCTGATTAATGGAATTGCTGCCAGTTGTTGAAGTGCGTATCCCATAAACCCCAAAGATAGGCATTCATGGGACAATTCTGGTCTAGACAAAACTCTGCAATTGCAGGAAGTTTCCGATAATCGTTTTAATATAATAATTTTTAGAAGGCATATTTTAACCCTTTACCCATATAATGCATTAAAATAGGGTGTCGCTTTATCTGTTTCCCCCCTTCTTGTCCTTCTTTAATCTTTCTTTCTACACCTTGCTTTTCATTACATGCTTACTGTTGCGAGCGAAAGCTTAACTCTTTTATATTGCTTGAATTTGATTCCATTTTTTTATTAAAAAATGTCCCTTTTGTGTAATTCTTTTGTAATTTAATAACCCCCCTCCCCACAAAATGTAATATAATGTGGGATGTCACATACAGCCTGAATCCTGCTGATTTCTGCCACCTGTGTTTCTCCAGGGTCGAGATGGGAGGAAGTCTGTGATTCCGTACGTTTTGTGGGTGAGCGGGAATCTGGAGCGTGGTTTGTTGGCATACCTATCTGATGCCCTCCAGCTGTCAGAGACCTCACGCCAGACAAAGGACCTAAGAAGGCAGGTGGGCTGCCATTGATATAATCTACTAATCCTTTAATAGTTCATAGTCACTGCTTTTATTACAGTGGAGGGTAGACTCCTGATACATTGAATTGTTGAAATGCCTACGTGAGTCAGAGTAGATGAGTCGGACACATTTTCCAGCCCTGCTATAATTCCAGTTTGGATATTTTGGCTTTACAGTTGCATTCTGTTAACCTCTCCACTACTCTGGTTTAGTTAACAAACCCCAGAACTTGTTCTTTGTTTTAGGTCTTAAAGTTTCATCCAGCATTGACACCCTTTAAAGTGGCTGTGGACATGGTGAAGGGACCAGCAATGGAGTTAAGACTGGTTCGTAAAAGTTGTCTGACAATATTGGGCTGTTTGTGGATGATCTCTGTCTCTGTGACATACAATGGATACGCTTCACGTCTTCTGCAAAGTGGTTTTTTTTAGGGAGTTACATCCTAGGACCATACCAAGGGGTAGCCCTGATTATTAAGTATATTTTGTATAAATATGGTTTCTGGACAGGTAGTGATCATACCCCTCATGTCCACTTTGGAGTATTCAGGTGTGGACACCGAGTTAAAGTACTTCAGTGCATTCAGGTCTTGAAGTTCAAGTACAGACTTTTAAAGAACTTTTATATAATCATATTCACTCCTACACATAATTTTTGCCCCAAAATCAATAAAACTGTTTTTATTGTGTTCTTATGATTTACTGTAAAAACCATAAGAATTTAGGAAGTGTCTGAATGTAGGAACATTCTCTATGAAGTTATTTTCCCAAACACTGGATATTATATTGAACACAACCAATGTCTGATTGTATTTTAAATGATCAATATGTTCTGACAGATAACTTTGATTGTTGTTTATCAAGCAATCTGTTATAGGAAGATACGTGTGAGTGTTGTAAGAAAATTCCCTGACCTAGATATACATTTTAGGTCTGCCAAGGAATGGCCAGCGAGCTGCGGGAAAATGGTATTTCCGTGTGGCCAGGATATTCGGAAACCTCACATGTGCCTCTGGAGAAATTGTTTACAAGGTAGGCCTGAAACATGCCAAAGGTAAATTAATTCTTTAGGAATCAGCCTGTATTATAGACAAATTGTATATTTCATTTTTCATTGCAAAAGAAAATGTAGAGAAGAAATTACCATTACCTTCTACAGGGCTCCTGCACTGCTCTTCAACTGATGGAAAAACTAATTTTGTGGCTTTGTTCCATTTAGGCACTGGGCGTGGGTCAGATGACTGTGAAGTGCTGATTAGGGGCAAGAGATAAGAACTTCTAAAGAGAAACACACTCTGCTGTAAGATCGGATTGAAAATTAAAGGGTCACTGCAGCATCAGGAATCCAAACGTTTATTCCTAGTGCTTTAGTGTCCCTGTCCCTATTTTAAAAACTGGTCCATCCCACCTGTTTACCATATGAAATAATAAAATAAAGATTTCACCTACCTATTTCCAGTGCTGGGATTCCCTCTGTGCAATTTACTTCTCTGACTGAAGTTTTACTCTGTCAATGCTGCGGAAGTATCTCTAATGGCTGCCTGTATGACTGCCACTAGAGAATGATTTAACTCTCAAAAAGATCTAATCGTCCCTTTCAATTCACGTCCCATTGTAAACAATTGTCAGAGTCCTTTCACCTATACTTTACCTCCTCGTCTATTCCTTATCTGGAAATTAGAACCTTAAAAAGGGACATAGAGAACTGGAATAAACCTGAGTGGGCTGTGTGTACAGCGTCATGGTGAACATCATGCCTGGACTGCTCTGTCTGTTTCAGACACCCCCGATTCCAGTGGCTAGTTCTGACCTATGATCCCTTCAGACATTAATTGATGATTTTCTCTGGCAGTACCGGACACACAGGGGGGCTTAGACAGTTCTCTATAGACTGAACTGTATTGGGCTTACCCAGTTTGAGTTGCAATTAGCTCCGCTGCAGGCATGGCACACTATCGGGCATCACAGATGGGTCGACCTAGATTCAGATCTCTTTTCACCAGACCTTTCCGATTTTATTTTATTTATTTTTATTTATTTTTTATCTGGCCCCCCCAAAAAAATCATCGGCCTTTCCTGCATACACAATTCCCAGCTATTATTAATTCCATGAGAATCTCTGACAAGTGCGCTGTAAGATGTAAACTGACTTCTGATATTTCCCTGATTACTCAATTCCTAAGGGACATACTTCACATTTGAAATGGTTCCGTATCTCTTTGGACATTGATTTACTCAAAAATTTATTCCATACATCCCCTTTGATGCTCTGAAAACTAGTGCCGCACTAACCACCTCTGATTTTATTTTTTGAGCATGATACAGTTCTGTAGTTTTGATGAGAAAGCTGACATTCACACAATAGCTATTAGAGGTTTGACACATATTGATGATCTAGGTCTGCAGGAATCATCAAAGGCCTTACCCATGTGTCCCCCTATTTGCTTTCATTTTCTCCTCGATATGTGAGGTATGATATACGATGCTAGAGTGGTTTTCGACCTAATCTAACACTGCCAATCTATCTTGTATTGCTATCATAACGATTTTTCTTCAAGTACACCGTTCTATGCTTTGTTTGACATCCTAAGTGCTGGTTAAACTTATTGGCATATGTACTCGAGCATCCCGCAGCTCACGTACTGTTGCGCTTTATCACTTGCTTGACATTCTAAGTGTTACTTCACTTTATTTGCATATGTATTTGATTTAATGTTAGTTTACCTTGCCCTTTTTTTTTTCTTTATTATTTTTTTAAATTCTTTATTTAATCTAATCGTATTTGCACAAAGCAAGTTAGCACCAGTACTTTTTTCAGTGTACGTATTGATAAACAATTATAGTGATATTTATGTATACACATACACTAGGAATTGCACAATAACAAGCTATGACCAATTCTTGCTTCTCAGAATGTTACTGATGGGAGAAGGTTTTTATCAACTTGCAAAGTGGACTGAGGTTTAGCGGTTTTATTTTTTGTAACATTATCACAGGAAACAAATCCGACCTCCTCATGTCTATTAAAGTTTCTTTATCCTGTCACTCTGCAGGTACGATGAGATGGGCATCTTATTCACAGCGCTTGTGAGTGAAAGCACGCTAGAAAACGGACTTCTTCAGCTTCGGAACCGCGATACAACCTTAAAGGAAACTATGCATGTTTCCAAAGTGCGCCATTTTCTTGAACAGTATATTACCGCTGCCAAAAACCTGTGAAACATATTAAAGAAGGATTTTAGAACTGGCCTCTGAGTTAAATTTACAAACTTCTTCCGCAAAATAATTAGATTAGTAAACCACCGACATTAACTGCAGTCTTTCAATCGTCACTGTTTGTCCCTTGGCAAACAGATTTTAAGTTAATCTAAATAAATCCAGCATAGGCCGTATTAAAACTGTTGTTTCTACTATCTTGAGCGAACATCCGTCTGGGAGAGACCTGCTTGACCCCCTTGGTTTATATATTTAAAAGAATAAAGTGGATTTGCCAAATTAAGCCAGCACTGGTCAACAGATTGTGTGCCTGTATCATATACTTAAAGGAACACTCTACACCAAAACCATTTCATTAAGTTACAGTTGTTTTGGTGTATGAATTATGTCCCTACAGGTTCACTGTTCAATTTACTGCAGTTTAGGAGTTAAAAAAGCGAAACCATTCTTCTTTTCATGCAGGCTGTGTCCGTCGGAGCCAGGGGAAATGTGGCTGGGGTTTCATGGACAGAAACAAAAGTGATTTAACTCCTAAATGGTGGAGAATTGAGCAGTGAAACTGCATGACCTATACACCAAAACTGCTTCATTAAGCTAAAGTGGAAATGGTGTTTAGAGTTTCCTTCTTAAAGTTTTTTTTTGGGGGGGGTTTTCTTTGTGATTATGGCATAGGTGCATCTTAATGCAATTGTATTCTAAACTGGTAATATCACAATAAGCCCTGCTCACCGGTCACTGGTGTCTGCGGATAGCAGTGTATTCTATGTTCGTGTTTTCTGGTTTAAAAAGAAAAGAGGTGATTTAGAGATCTGTTTATTCATCGACATCCTCTCTCTCAACTTATAGTACATCAACACTTGTTCCCACACTTTATTTCCCTTACAAACTACCAGTGCCACCCACAGCTCCACAGAGCACCCCAAATCTTTCTTATAATTACAGAAGTAGTGTTCTGAGACAAAGCAGCATTATTCCACCACCCTTTATACTGCCTCCCCCATGTCTCCTTTGCTTACATCCTGAACGCTTCCACTATACCTGCTGTCTGTCTGATCTCCATACCTCTTCTCTAATCTGTAGCCCTTTCCTCTTACTGTTCAATATTTTCTTTCTTCATTCTTTTTTTAAAATCAGTTTCCCAGAAACATATCTTTTATGGATAAGCATAGAGAGAGAGAATGTGGGGGGGGGGGAAAGCTGATGTCATGTTATCTATCCTCAGCACCATATTTATTTTCTTTATTGATCTAAAGCATGGGTTCCCAACCCAGTCCTCAAGTACCCCCCTAACAGTCCAGGATTTAGGGATTACCCTGTGGTGTCTAAAGTGTTTTTTTTTTTTTCTAAAGACACCTTAGACATAACTGGGTAATCCCTAAATCCTGGACTGTTAGGGGGGTACTTGAGGACTGGCTTGGGAACGACTGATCTAAGGGGAAGGTAAAATAAAACGTGCATGTAGCCTCACTTTCTGTGGTGTTGGCTCGTACAATGGTAGAATAGTTGATCTCCTGCCCTCCGACTGTCTCTAAATCTGCAAATATATAGCACCATATTAAAGAGAAGATATCAGCGTTTTGAATAATGATGGAATATAGAACCTGAAATTCATTCTTAATTGAGGGAGAGGAGGGGTTCAGTAAACTGGTAAATTCAAATACAAAATGCTTGTGACAACATACCTGATGATCTAATACTGGATCTAAAATGGAATTTCATTTCATTCTTCACACAGGGGGGAAATAAACCTGTCAACAGCTTTCATGTCATTAAAGGGTTACCCCTACCTTTTTGTTTGCTTTTAATTTATAACACTCTATTGAGCACTTGCCCCCCTTTTATGGTGCCAAAACAAGTAAAATAATAATAAACGTCTCAGGAATCCAGCACCGGGTGAGGTTCTCCATGAGCATTTCTACACCCCATCAGTCATTCCCTTTCCGGAGTCCAATCAAATACTTCTCAAAGAAAAGCATTTGATTTGACTGAGCTACAGGTCAGAGTGAATGGACCAGGGAGTTGTAGAATGGAGGGGACGGCTGGGAAACTGGGGACATAAAGGTTCCTCTTGCAGGTATGTTTACAACGCTGCCTGCAAGGGTAGAAGCTGATTATGTCTGTTGCCAACGATGGGTGGATATTTGCACAGAATGAACATCAGGCTGTCCAGTTCAGAGTTACGACCTGCCTAAGACTTCTGTGTTGGGGCAGTGCAGACACACTGCACATACAGATTGCGTGCTCCATGACAATGTCTAAAAGCAGAAGTAGTCGTAGTCGTGGAGGTTGTAGTGTCCATTTAACAGCACTGGACTCAAATCTGTGTTCTCTCGCAGGACTGTGTATACTTACCTGCTTCTTTCGTTAACATATTTTCATATATTCTGTCACCTGTAGATCACAATTACACAGTTAGTGTGGTCTCTGCTCACATGACACTAAACAAAAAACATTTACTGTTGTAACATTTACACTCCAGCCACCTACACAATTTGGGTGCAATGCATAGGTTAAATTAATCAGGTATATTTTGGGTTGTTTAAAATAAATAAATGTTTTGTTAAATAAATGGATTTTCCTCCATATGCCCGCCTATTCTGCCCCTCCACCATGCGTGGTTTTCTTTTTGATTTGATACTGCAAATATATGAGAAGCACAGCAAATGTCTGAGGATTGTAGTTCATTTGTCAGCTCTCTACTGGAGAAAGCTGAACTGCAACTCCAGGGCCCCCCAGGTTTACTGTGCCGTAGTGCGTGGTTTCAACGTGTTACTGCCACATGAACATTAACAAATTGTAATACATACAGTCCATTTAAAGTAATACATGATCACAGTTTTCCTTTACGGGTGTAATACATATATGTGAAATAAATATGTGAAATGTAATATCTTTCCAGGTAACGGAACAATGGACAATTAACCAGCATTTCAATCTTCACTTTAATTTGGATTAATTACTTCTAATTTGTCTTGACTAATTAACTTCACAGAACTTTCACTTTATTACCTATAATAAAACTGCCAATAGCAGATGTTTCTTGCTTATTAATATAAACTGTAATTATTAAATATATATAAAGGACTGCTCTCCCAGGATTTTGCTACATGGTCTCTCCTGTATATGTGCAGGACGATAGATCATGTCTCACCTGTAACTTCTGTTGTTGTGTTTGCATATATTCTGTCATCTGTATAAAACACAATTACACATTTAGTCTGAGCTCTGTTCCCACATTGACTTTAACAAACTTTTGCATGATCAGTGTCAATTTTGTCTTACCTGCAGGGCATTGATTGGCTGAGAGTGGGACTAGTCGCCACCATCTGGATTGGACAAAGTTGACAGTGATCATGTTAAAAAAAAAAAAAAAAAGCATGGGGGCGGGCTCTGAGCAATATGGCAGCTAGACGCGTTTCACTTGAGCTCCAAGCCTGAACTTCCCCTTGAGCCGCCTAATCGACTGATATCGCCCCCAAACGTTCTTCTGCCGAGACTTATCTAACCCTGACACTTGCCGGGGCCCTTCGGTGTACTCCCGTGGCTGGAATCTCCTGTAATCTCAGGCAGCGCGGGTGAGGACTCATGCTCACGTTGGTCTAGCGAGGCGGACGATCGCTGGAACCGAGTTGCGCTGAGTCCCAATGGGTAATAGTGCAGCCCCGTTCCCCCCCACCTTGGATCGGTGGGGGATATCCCGGTCCACACCTCGGAGGCCCTACTCCTACGAGATCTAGCTAGGGAGATGCCGGGCAAGTCTGAAGGAGCCTACCCGAAAATGGCGGATTCCATGTGCCCCTTTATGTCTCGGCTAGACAATCTCTTTGCTAACTTCTGGCTGAAGCGGACTCAACGATAACAGTACCTTGCACGGCAGGAGTCACAGGTCTCACACCGGAGACCACAAGCACAACACCAGCGCACAGCACGGGTTCCGGCCCCAAGATGGGTCCGTAAAAGGCGGAGGGAAGTGCTTCACCGCAAGATGGCGAGAGCAAGGCCTCATCCACTACGCACATTATACCCCTGTCCTCACCGGACCCAAGTGGAGCACCAGTGACCTGCCGGACACGGCATGAAAACAGCGGAGTGCAGCTATCCTGGATCCCGCAGTACACAGTTACACAAGCTGGCTTCCCACAAGCTCGGAGTGCAGAGGGTTGGTCCGTGCGGATCCTGCAGGGCTTATGCTATGACTACGACTACTGCTCTCAGGTGCCCCAAAGCCTGTTGAAAAGTCTATCACTCTGAATGAAGACCGTGACCTTATCTCTGGCATAGTGCCTGTCCATCACGTATAATCCTAGAACCTGCTGAGTATTTGTTCTGTTTCTTTTCATCATGCCTGTTGCCCACGTATTTAGTTTTAGATGCCTCTACGATATCACATTGCCAATTGATTAAGCCTATATAATTTTACTTTAGTTTGTTCACATTATGCTGTCTATGCAAACAATACTTAGGTCCCAACTCCAACTTGTACATCTGCTAAGAGCCAGCACTAGTAAGATGGTTTTCTCACTTGAGTAATTAATATATGTACCTAGCATGACCCTTAATATTAGCCTGTTTAAAAAGTCTCTGTATAATCTATATTATGGGAAACGTCCCACCTAAGCTTGTACTCACATGACTTCCAATCCTTATGTCAGCAGTGTCAATATGTCTCAATACAGACTGTTTATTATTTTAAAGCTGACACAGAGATTTCACTTGAGACTATTATACTTTATAATATAAAAAGTGCACTGTTAAAATCTGCCTAACACATGTTGGCATGCAATGCCACAACAGCAGTTGCTCGCTATTTGTTTTTTCCGCAAGCACAGTAAGATAAAGAATTAAAAAAAAATAATTAAAAAAAGCGTAAATTCTGTATTAACAAATAAGCGATCTCCAGGTGCTGAAATGTTTGCCCAGACTGTCTTGGCAAGCTGTAGAGGTTATGCTGTTTACAGAGCCCCTTTAATATAAAGGTATATTCTATTATATTCACAATGGTTTGAAAGGATTTAGACCAATAAATATCACATTTATACTTTCTCTATTCCTGCAGATCTCTTCTCCGCAGGCTTAATTACCTTCTCCTAACACCGGCCAGACTTTCTGTTGCTGTCTAACCACATACTTTCCAATGTAGCTCAATGAGAAGTCTTTGTAAGTCAGGTGCTCTGGGCAATTGCTGCCTCTTGAGCTTATCTCCACTGAGCTAAACAAACCAGGAAGTAGCAGGATTGTTGTCTGATTGAAAGTCAGGAGGTGTAAAACTCACAACCCAGATGTTCCTACATGATGTGGCCACAGGAACAAGATCGTATGATTTGAATGCATTATTTAGCTAAGGCAATAAAAGTTTGCAAAACAAATGCACACAGGAAAATGGTCAGATGTTCCCTTATATACTGCTGGTGATAACCCTCCTGCCCAGTGGTGTATCCTGGTTTTGTGCTGCCCTAGGCAGGACAAAACTCAGGCACCCCCATCCCCCCGCGCCACCCCCACCCAACCCTTCCCCCCGCCCCACCTTCTAAATACACACATAAACAGTCAGACACACACAGTCAGAGACACACACACAGTCACACACACAGTCAGACACAAACACACCCACACAGTCAGACACAAACACACACACACACACACACACACACAATCAGACACACACACACACACAGTCAGACACAAACACACACACACAGTCAGACACACACACACTCACATCAAAAAACATTTTTATTTTTATTTAACCCCCCCCCAGCCTCCTTACCTTTGGGAGTGCTGAGGGGGGTTCCTCTTTCTCCCTGGTGGTCCAGTGGCTGCCGGTCGGGCTGGGCGGCGCTGGCTGGTGGACGGGCGGGCGGCTGGCGAGGGAGCTCTTCCTCTGAGCGGTCTGCTCAGCTCCCTCGCGCTCCCAGCCTCACTCTGCGGCGCGCGAGGTAGCTGAGCAGTCAGCTCAGAGGAAGAGCTCCCTCGCCAGCCGCTCGGCATGTCTGTTAGCCGCGAGGCTAACTAGGCATTTGCCCTGGGCACTTGGGGGCCGGCGTTTTTTGCCGCCCCCTGAAAAATGCCGCCCAAGGCAAATGCCTTGTTTGCCTCGCGGCTAATACACCCCTGCTCCTGCCTTGTTCTTGCCTTATCCAAACTCAGGGTACTTGAGCCTGCCCACCTACACATCCAGTAAGCCAGTGGTACCAGTTATCTACCGTGTGAGTACTTACTACTTCTACGCCTGCAAATCCTCCTGAATACAAAGGCAGACAAAACTAAAGCAGGTACTAGGATGAAAACCAACAGGAGGACAAGAATTAAGGTACTAGGTGCAGGCGATCCATTAGACTCATTTTCTGAAAAAAAGAAAAACACAGACATGTTACTTCTGTACATTACCAAATAGACAATACAATGGCATGTTGTTGTTGATCCATCATATCTATACACTGATCACCCACAAGATTAAAACCTCCTGCGTAATATTGTGTAGGTACCCCTCGTGTTGCCAAAACAGCTCTGATGCGCGGACTCTTGGGGGGAGCACATGTTGTCCCTGAGTGCCCACTGTACCACGATGCTTACAGGGGCGGCCTAGGCGGAACTTGGGGACCGGTCCGGGGCCTGGCACCCTGGGAGACCTTACAACGCTAATTGCCCCCGGTCTATGTATGCAACCCTTATGTTCCACATGTTGTATGGGTCTCTGTCTCCCATACAAGCTTACAGAACACATTAGCCCTACATCCATGATTCCTTTCCTGGCATTAATTGATTTGTAGGGGCCAAACTCGGCACTGCCCTCATTCAGCCAGCCAGGCTGCCTTCACATAAGTTACCTGAATAGTGTACTTTCTCAGTAAACTGGTCTACTATATGTTAGGCCACACAGCCTTTAGTTCAAAAGAAAAAGGGAATATTTTAAAGTGCTCATTCATGCAATGGTTTATAATGCATACTATGTGTATATTTTCTCTTTATTTGTTAATTTTTCTTCATTTGTTCTCTTTATTATAATAGTTTGCTACGACATGTTTTGGATGGTAATACCCTATGATTTAAAGTTACTTAACAAACCGCAGTTACTAGCCTCATATAGACCACACTACACATAAACATACACTGCCTTTATTACCCATTACAAAGAGGCTCCTGACCCCCAGACTTGGGCTTCGTGCAACTTAATTTAATTACCCGGACACAGCCCGCGTAGAACAAAATGCTACACCTTCAGTGTGAGCTGACATCTAAAAAAAAATCAGTGTAATTAAGTACTCATTTACCGTAGCCAACGTATGAAAGAGCTGTAAACATACCCGAACAGCAACGTGTACAGGTCAGTAGAATCTGGAGAGTTTTGCACTTTTTATATTTCCCATAGCCTAACCATTCCGAAGCCAGGGGCCAACACGTTATGCCTACCCTAGACCTGAAAACCCACACTTGAAAATACACTTAAATTAATTGCCAGTTACACGCCTTCAAAAGCCACCTACACTGCAGAAAATGCATCCGAATATTGCATTAGCAAATGTATTTTACATTAAAACGGATTACTCTCTATTGAACTTAACTACACATCTTAATAATCAAGCATGGGCCTGTAAGATACGCTTTTAATGCCCTAGATCACACCAAGTATTTGCATAATCACTCTATCTCATTGTACGCTCACTCTGATCTTTAAGCCTCTGCGCAGGCAACCGAATGTTTTTACATTGCAATGTAATATGTCTGACGTTACCTTATCTTCAAAATAAAAAAACATTTTACACAAAACAGCTCTGTTGTGTCAAGGCATGGACTGCACAAGACCTCTGAACGTGTTCTGTGGTATGTGGCACCATGACATTAGCAGCAGATCATTTAAGTCCTGCAAGTGGCAAGGTGGGGCTTCCATGGATCGAATTTGTTAAGCAAGAATAACCCACAGATGCTCAATCAGACTGAGATTGGGAAAATTTAGAGGCCAAGGCAACACCTTGAACTCTTTGTCATCTTCCTCAAACCATTCTTGAACAATTGTGTGGCAGGGTGCACTATCCAGCTGAAATAGGCCACTGCTATTAGGGAACACCATTGCCATAAAGGCGAGTACATTTTCTGCAGCAATCACTAGGTAGGTTGGATGTAACATCAAAGTAACATTCATGTTAATTCCAGGACTCAAAACATTGCCCATAGCATCACACTGCCTCCACCGGCCTGCCTTCTTCCCATAGGGCATCCTGCTGCTATCTCTTCCCCAGGTAAACAACTCACACGGCCCCGGCCATCCACCTGATCTAAAAGAAAACGTGATTCATCAGACCAGGCAACCTTCTTCCATTGCTGCATTGTCCAGTCTGACACTCATGTCCCCATTGAAGGATCTTTTGGTGGTGGTGGTGGACAGGGCTCATCATAGGCATTTGTTACGGTCTGCGACTACGCAGCCCCATACGCAGCAAACGGCGATGCACTGTGTGTTCTGACACTTTTCTATCATGGTCAGCACTACATTTTTAAGCAATTTGAGCTACAGTGGCTCTTCTGTGTGATCGGATCGCACATGAGCCCCTGACACCAGTTTACTGGTTGTCCTTCCTGGCACTCCTTTTGGTAGGTACTAACCACTGCACACCAGGAACACCCCACAAAACTTGCCGTTTTGGAGATGCTCTGATCTAGTCGTCTGGCCATCACTATTTGGCCTTTGTGAAAGTCACTCAGACCTTTTCGCTTGCCCATTCTATCTGCTTCCAACATATGAAATTCAAGAAATGACTCTTCACTCCTCTCACAAAAAACACTCTTTCTTATTTTTATTTGTTTGATTCGGATCCAGGTCAGGGCTTTAAATGTATACTTTACTTATACTGCACGCATCTAACTTTACAAAAATTCACCTTTATGAATGATATAAGTTGCTTTTTTGTTGTTGTAGTGATGGACGTGTGTGCGTGAAAACTGAAAATGCATTTTAATTTCCTTAAAATAATTAGTGACTAAAACCTGCCCTCTTATCCACAGGGCAGGAGAAGGCATAGTATAAAACTACCTTTAATATCCCGGAGCCTGCCCCCTTTATCCCTAGATCAGGAGCAGATTTTACTATAGTACTTATGTTGTTCATACTCTCCAGTTTATCATGTTCTACGTTCTGGGCAGTTGATGAAGTTCGTGACTGTAGTTCATGGCTCTCGACGGTTTTAAATACTCCGTTGACCATGCCTGACAAGCTAGTAGAATGGTGACATACCTTGTAACGTGAAGTAAAATGACTGGCTGTATATAGCACTGGTGTTATTTGCTTTACAACGGTAGGTTCCCAAGTAGGTTGTATCGATGATAGTGACATTAAATGAGATTTGCCTCTGTTCCGTGGATATTATCCTGCCATTAATACTCCTGTTATGGAACAACTGGTATGTGATGGGCACGGATCCACCCGTGGAAAGGCAGGAAATGGTTTCTGTATTTCCAATCATGGTTACATTGGATCGTGGGATCAGCTTGAGACTTGTTATGTCTGCAAAAATGAAAATACTAATAACAAATATGAAATTGTTTAACCAGGACTGCTACATTTAGCATGTTTCTAGTTTCTAAATGCTATTACTCAGTTTTATGACCTCGAAAGGATGATAGGCTTAATTGACCTTGCTTGCAATCAAACCTGTGATAAGCTATGAATGGCTCCTTTAAAGGAATACTATAGCGCTAGTAAAACCTGTATACCTAATGGTGTAGTGCGCCTGTCCCTAGCACCCCTCCACCCGTGTGCATTGAGGTTCCCTTGGCGCTGCTGACCTCTCCACTTCGTGCGACGTCATTGAGGCATGGCCTCACTGCAATGGTCCAGTCTAATGCTCCTCATAGCGGTGAGCAATGCGCTCACATTCAAGCTTCCCAATAGGAAAGCATTCAATAAATGCTTTGCTAGGGGGGATTCTGCATCATGTGACTGAGTTTTACCCGGTCACTGCACCGGAAGTCCCTCTAGTGCCTTATAAGCCACTAGCAGTGGGCTTAATGAAAATATAAACAATGCATTTTAAATTTAATCAATGCAGTTTCTAAGAATCAGAAATGTTTTGTATTGCAGGACTAACATTACAGGATCACGGCACCCAGACCACCTTAATGAGAATAGTTTCCCTTTAACCACTCAGCTCTTCCTTTAAAAGGAATGAATTTAACATTTACTTTAGTATTAGTGTTAATAGAATGTGTGATACATAAGTTTAACGTCTGATAGTCTCACATAGTGGATCACATTATACAGGGGTTCTGACAGTGTCGCTGTGTAAGGGAATCACATTATACACGGGTTCTGACAGTGTCACCGTGTTAGTGAATCACATTATACAGGGGTTCTGACAGTGTCACTGTGTTAGTGAATCACATTATACAGGGGTTCTGACAGTGTCACCGTGTTAGTGAATCACATTATACAGGGGTTCTGACAGTGTCACTGTGTTAGTGAATCACATTATACAGGGGTTCTGACAGTGTCACCGTGTTAGTGAATCACATTATACAGGGGTTCTGACAGTGTCACCATGTTAGTGGATCACATTATACAGGGATTCCGACAGTGTCACCGTGTTAGTGGATCACATTATACAGGGGTTCTGACAGTGTCGCCGTGTAAGGGAATCACATTATACAGGGGTTCTGACAGTGTCACTGTGTTAGTGGATCACATTATACAGGGGTCCTGACAGTGTCACTATGTTAGTGGATCACATTATACAGGGGTTCTGACAGTGTCACGTGTTAGTGGATCACATTATATAGGGGTTCTGACAGTGTCACTATGTTAGTGAATCACATTATACAGGGGTTCTGACAGTGTCACCGTGTTAGTGAATCACATTATACAGGGATTCCGACAGTGTCACCGTGTTAGTGGATCACATTATACAGGGGTTCTGACAGTGTCACTATGTTAGTGAATCACATTATACAGGGGTCCTGACAGTGTCAATATGTTAGTGAATCACATTATACAGGGGTTCTGACAGTGTCACTATGTTAGTGAATCACATTATACAGGGGTTCTGACAGTGTCACCGTGTTAGTGAATCACATTATACAGGGGTCCTGACAGTGTCACTATGTTAATGGATCACATTATACAGGGGTTCTGACAGTGTCACCGTGTTAGTGAATCACATTATACAGGGATTCCGACAGTGTCACCGTGTTAGTGGATCACATTATACAGGGGTTCTGACAGTGTCGCCGTGTAAGGGAATCACATTATACAGGGGTTCTGACAGTGTCACTGTGTTAGTGGATCACATTATACAGGGGTTCTGACAGTGTCACTATGTTAGTGAATCACATTATACAGGGGTTCTGACAGTGTCACCGTGTTAGTGAATCACATTATACAGGGGTTCTGACAGTGTCACCGTGTTAGTGAATCACATTATACAGGGGTTCTGACAGTGTCACCGTGTAAGTGAATCACATTATACAGGGGTTCTGACAGTGTCACCGTGTAAGGGAATCACATTATACAGGGGTTCTGACAGTGTCACCGTGTAAGGGAATCACATTATACAGGGGTTCTGACAGTGTCACCGTGTTAATGGATCACATTATACAGGAGTTCTGACAGTGTCAATATGTTAGTGGATCACATTATACAGGGGTTCTGACAGTGTCACCATGTTAGTGAATCACATTATACAGGGGTTCTGACAGTGTCACCGTGTTAGTGGATCACATTATACAGGGGTTCTGACAGTGTCACCATGTTAGTGAATCACATTATACAGGGGTTCTGACAGTGTCACCGTGTAAGGGAATCACATTATACAGGGGTCCTGACAGTGTCACCGTGTTAGTGGATCACATTATACAGGGGTTCTGACAGTGTCGCTGTGTTAGTGCAATGTGTGGTGTAGGGGGTTTTGACAGTGTCACTGTGTTAGTGGAATACGTAATATAGAGGGAGTAATTTTTATATTGGAATGTTTGCTTGCCTGTTGACTTTTGAAGACCCAATAAATCTACAGTGTTTTAGCATACAGAATATGTATATACACACATATGTAGTTGTTTACTAAATCAGGTATTCCTAAGGGAACTGCAATCTTTGGACAAATTCTCGAACGCCTCTATGTATTTTATATTGCTAAACTATTATTTAACCTCCCATGAATAAACATGCATTTAAACACTTAAATAACATTTCAAATATCCAACAACAACAAAAAATGTAAAATACATAAATATTTTCTTCAAAATGACAGGATGGAAATGTAATCACGTTTAGTAAAACATGGTGACAGAATGGCAATATTTTTTGGGTAATGATTACATTACGTTCTACCAAAATACCAAATCTAGAATATTACAAGCAAATTGTTATGGTGTTATTTTGTATTAGACATGTGCAATTCGTTTCGGTCTGAATGTGAATTCGGACGTATTTCGGGAAATTCGGACATTCGGGTACTTCCGAATGTCCGAATTGCCGAAGTGCCGAATTGCCGAGGTCCCGAAGTTCTGAAATTACAGAATTTCCAAAGTGCTGAAGCACAGTATTGCCTAAGTACTAATATACTTACCCAGTGAAAAAAGAAGAATGCTACATTGTATACAAGTTTAAATAAAAAGTATACAAACATAGTCAGTATTCAGCTGTAAGCATTTGCAACACTTACAACAATCAAGTAATCATGTAATGACAGGAATGAATACGTAGATAACTCCCTAATGCCCACGGTATTAGGGAGCTATCTACTAAAAGGCTGAAAGACCTAAATTGGTCTTTCAGACAATTTTACTAATGCTAAGTAAAGATTATACCGCGAGTAGGGGCATGTCTATTAAACAGTAAGCAGCCTGTCCCCCTCCCGAGCCCCCACCCGCGACGTGCGAGTGGGGTTTTTTTAAACTAAAGGGGGGACCTATTGCCCCCCCGCCCCCACCCCTGAGCGGCGGGTGGGGGCCCTAGTGTAAAATAATGGGGGGGGACCTATTGTCCTCCCCCCGGACCCCCACCACTGAGCGGCGGGTGGTGGCCCTAGTGTAAAATAAAGGGGGGACCTATACGTTTTTTTATTTGGCCTTTTTTGGGGCTGAAAAAATAAGATTTTAGAAGAAAGAAGACATCGAATGGTAAGATTTTTTTTTTTTTTTTTACAGGTACTTAGTTAAAGGTCCCCCCCCTCATAATTTTTAGGGTGAGGAGGGTAGGTAGGGGGATATTTTTTTTGGGGAGGGGGGGTGACAAGTGGGGTTTGGGACCCCTAGTCACCTGGGAGTGGCCTTTTAGGCCCCCCACCACCGCTCAGTGGGGGCCGGGGGGAGGACGATAGGTCCCCCCCCCATTGTTATTTAGGGCCCCCACCCTGCCGAAGTTGCGGAACTTTTGAAGTGTCAAAGTGCTGAAGTGCCGAAGTTGCCGAAGTTCCGAATTGCGAAAGTCCCGAATTTCGGAATGCCGAACCGAACCAAAAATGTTCCCCATGCACATGCCTATTTTGTATGATTTGCTATTTTCTCTGAGGTCATTTAACAATAAACTGACTTTGTATTTATTGATTTGCATTTATATCTATTTCTACATTGAATTTCTGCATTTTAAAAAACACAGAGTTTACATAGAAGATAAAAGTTGATAGAAATAACATCACTTACTCTTCGTCTTCTCTCCTTCAGACTTGACAGCTGAAACAAAATGATACAGAATTTCAGTAAAAATAAATAATAATTATTATTAAGTACAAATAATATGGCCAGGTGTTACTATGTCTTAAAGGATAGGAAATAGATGGGGAGACGGGTAAAATCCACCTGGTTTCATTGTTAACCCATTTAGGACAATTAGCTGGGCAGTCGTCTGTCATTATGGGAAAGCAGTGTCACTGGAGGAACCCACTTGTAATTGGTGAATTCAGAGAAATGTGTGCAAGCGTAAGTAGTTGGGTTTGAGTCTTACATTCCCAGACAGATACGTAAAACAGGAGATGATAACGTAAAAGCATTGTCCTCCTTTGATAGTCACCGATATAAAAACAACACAAAAAAGAAACGAATACTGTTCACAAAGAAAAGAGGAACTAAGACCTCCAGAGAATGGCAGGATATTACTCAGGGCTTCAACATTAAAGAGACAAAACGCCTTACAACACGAAACTGCTTATTCAAAAAATTTATTTTTGAAACTCACATTTGGCGAAGAAGAAAGAATATTTCCTAGCTAATCATGGCAGCATCACTTATGGGTAGCTCCTCCCTTAGCAGTCACAGGACAGGAATTAATTAGTTTAATCAATTAGACTGATAGGTATAAAGAGTCCCTCCTCCCCTTACACCTCAGTCTTTTTTCCTGTCCTTAGCAAGTTCTACAGGACTTTTTACATTTCATTTTATGGCCACCTTCCTGCGTTTGTCGTGGGTTCGTACCAAATTAAGTTCAGCCTCTCTTCATTTGAAGGACCCAATAAACAGCCTGCATGAGCAGGACTAACTGAGTCAGGTTCAGTGTAAGTACTGAACTGCTGCGTGGGATTTGGTGTTCTGAGGGAAACACGGCTACAGGTAATCTGAGAATATGGGGTTGGTCCTCATTAAAATTCCCCTTGCTGTTTGTCTTGCCCCTAGGAACTGGGGTCTAAAAATTCCCTCCTCTAGCATTGGTGGCAGTGCTTGGAATCCATACTATGGGGGTCCTCCTGTGGGGGGGATCCTGTTTACTTACTTGTGTGCTGAGTGTTCTTTCATGGGGGTGGAGTCCCTCTCTCCTGCAGCAGGGGTACCCTCTGTTGTTGCCTGTGGGTTCCTGGTGGGGCCAGCGTGGTTGGCTGGAACGCGGTGTGCGTTTCAGCAGGCGGAAGTGACGTCGCGGCTGGGCCGGCGAAACCGGAAGTGATGTAATTTTAGGCCGCAAGCGTTTGGAACGCATAGCGTGCGTTCCAGCGGTCTGCGCATGCGCGCACAAGACGTTTTCCCCGGCTCTATTTAAACTTGATGATACAGACACTCTGCCTGTGCACTGCATCAGCTGTTAAGGCAATTTCACTCCTGGTTTCTCGGCAGTTCATCCTTTGCTGTTATTTCTTGGCTGCCTGGAGGTTTTTTTCTGTCATTATAAGGTAATAAGTTCTTCTGTGTTTCTTGTTTGAAGGTTTTTTTTTTGTGTTTTGTTTTTTACTTGTCCGTTTGCCTCTGGCCTTTTTATTGGTAATTGTGTTTTTTAATTTCCTTTGACTCTCATTTGTAGTATGGATTCTCCCTCTGCCTCTGCCTCTGCAAGATCTCTCTCTAGAAAACATAGGTGAGCCATTCATTTTTTTATGGGGGGGTTGTTAAAAGAGTGCCAAACTAAGCCTGTAATATATGTTTATATATGGCTTTATTTCAGCCCCAGCAAGCATCTGGATTCTCCAGCAAGGAAATCAAGGGAAAAGTCCAACAAATGCATTAATTGTTCGTGGCCTGCTCCGAAAGGAAGGAACCTTTGCAGGGAATGATTATTGGAAGCGGCAGGTGCCCCCAGTGGGGGTTCCCCACAAGACGACCTTAAGCTCTGGATTTCCCAAGCTATTGCTGAGGGCTTTAAGTCTACCATGGTGGCTAGTGGTCCCAGTAAGAGACGCAGAGCGGAACCTCAGTCTTCCAGCTCTGGAGAAGACCTTGATGTGTTGGAGGTCTCAGATGATGGTGAGGAGGAAGTTAAATATACCTCCAGGTCTCTCGACTCGAAGTCTATTGATAGACTTATTACCCTTCTCAGAGAGACTCTTAGTCTCACGGAAGAAAAGTCTGTATTGAGAGTGGCTGACAGGTTCTTTGAGGACCTAAAACTGAATAGAGCTACCTTCCCGATGCATTACTCGATCAGGGACTTAATCCTTCAAGAATGGAATAATCCAGGAAGGAAATCCAACTTGAAAAATAAATTCTCGACAATTTATCCTTTCTCTGCCGTGGACTGCTGCCTATGGAATTCAGTTCCTAAGATTGATGCTGCTGTGATTCATATGGCAAAGAAAACTAGATTTGATTAAAGCCTACTTGGCCCTGGGCTCCACCCTTCATCTGGCAGTGGCACTGACCACTCTCTCCCGGGCCTTAAGAGTGTGGCTCGCTAATTTGGAGGAGGACATTGATCAGGGTGTCCGTAGGGAACATCTTTTGGAGAGCCTCAAAGACTTTAGCCTGGCCACGGAATTCTGTTCAGAAGCCTCCCTAGACATCACTTGCATGATAGCCCTAGAAGGGCCTCATTCGTGGGCTGTCACTTCCTCCCAGTTGGCCAACACTACAGGAACCTGGTCAGGCTCTTAAATGTCCGCAGCAACTGACCGCGCTCCTGTTCAGAAATAATACCCATCGGATGGCCCTAAGTGCATGGCCACTGGCTGCAGTTCTGCCACTGTCACTAAAGCCATGTTCAAATGTTAACCCTTCATCACTAGTAATTCCTGCAGGGCTTGAAGTATCTTCTTCATACAAAATACAAGATCCAGTGCACTTACTCATCCATTAAACAGCAACGTCCAAGCTCACCAGTTTTAATAGTTTTTTTTTTTTTTAAATAAACACCTAATCTAAGTGTTGTATGAATTAGCACCCACAGCACCCTTATAATATATGCATGTTCAGGTGAGTGCAGCCTTTTGGTTTCTCTAACATATATTTGGAGGGCCAACTCCCCGGTTTTGCACCCCTCCCTGTTACCCTATGGATCAAACGCAGCTTAGTTGAAATAGGCTTGACAGAGCTCGGAGGCGGGCATAGGGGGAAGGCTCCCAGGGATTGTGAGTTGGATTGTTAGGGGGTTGTCCTAGTATTAATAGGCAGCCATGTTAGAATTAGGCACTTTTAATTTGCTTACCTGACCTACTTTGTCCCTCTCTCCCTTTTTAGGGGAAAAATTAGGGGACAGACAGGCACTGGGTTAGTTTAAATGGAATAGGGCAGTTAGGCTGCTGGTTAAGAGGTTGGTTAAAATGGTTCGCTATGAACTTTGGTAGGTTTCGAACTTGGTGGTGGCTCAGAACCTGGTTGGTAGTAGGGGTATCCGGGTAAACCCCTACCGTTATTAGTTAACAAAGCTGGCACTTTATATCATGTTTATGATGTTTATTGTTATTTACGTTATTTTTATTTACGGTTAAAATATGGGTCATTGCCTTTTGTTTCAGGGACATGTAGTGTAATATGGCAGGACTGGGGCGGGGCAATGACTTTAATTATATTGTTATTATTGTTAATAAAAGCTGTGGACATATTGACCCATACATTAGTGTCAGTGTGTTATTGGGTAGTAGTATGGGGGGTAATTCCACCTGCCCATATGGCAACTATGCGCCTGTCATGTCATAGGTGCCTGATTCCAGGGCCCTATTTAACCTTGACCTGCAGAGTCCCAGGAGGAAGAATTTCTCAAGGAAGTGGATTATTCTCATAAGAGCAGGCATTAGGCTGCTAGGGTAGGACCTGCCAAGAATGGGGTACATTGACGTTGTGGCAGGCTTATGCAAAGTATGATCATATAATGTGTAATGGATCGACGGGCACCCCGACTGGGTACCTCCGTTGATGGATGCTCCTAGCGTTTCCTGAGGGCTCCAAGCACTCCAGCCCACACCATAACCACCGTAGACTCCTTCAGCGAGCAAAACAGGAACAAGCTCTTACCAGAGCTTAGTAGTGATATAGCAAGAGAGTATGACTAGCATAGCAATCCCTTGTAGCAGATTCCCCCAATAAGAGACAGCACTCCGAATTGAGGGTGAAGTAGAATTGAGATTTTAAATGACACACACTCTGCTTTTATGCAATTCTCCGGTGCAAGCGAGACGCCCACTGACAATTATGAATTACCCAATCACACACTGGTTACATCCCACACATCTCCTCCGCTTAGCCTGAGAGGTAACACAATTAGCCGTACAGTTTAAAACATACTTTTTACCAAACTTTCAGAACTCTAAAACTATACATCCAATAGTCACATATTATTAATCAGCATATTTCAAATACAAACATAGCCCAAAATCATTTGAATCTGTTCAGCCGTTCGGGAGATAGATATAAGTCACCTTTGACCGACCGCAAGCACATTTTCATGCCCAAAACAGTTCCAGAGAATCAGGCTCTACGGCTGGTCTATTTCCCATGTTAAAGTCAGTTCAAACAGACGAACGACAACCATTCGAATTGTAGAACTGTTGAATGCATTAGTTAAAGTGAAGGTAAAACTTCATCGGTGTTCGTGCCGTTCTGTAGCCGATTTTAGTTCCATGAGTTTGACGGCACACACCGCTGACTGCATTCGAATGAATCAAAATGGCCGCCACCACGTATTCGGTTTTCTAATGGCGGCCACTTCGACTACTTCGGCTGCATCCGAAGTGCCACGCCAAAACGGCAGGTCCTTTCCCAAAGTACTTAAAGAGCCAGAAACAGCACAATCAAAATCCACCCAAATATAGTTCTTAAAGTGCCATACACAGTCCAATACAAGTCCATAAGCCCAAATTCAGTTCCTTAAAGGGCAATACATCCCAGGGGCCATAGTCACATGGCAGGAGGCTGGCAATCAGTCTTCTCCAATGCCCAGTGGCGAGGCTGGTTTCGCCACATAATGTAACTAAACCCCCATTATTTTTTACCTAGATTAGATAAATCTGTCAGCTTTGAAGTAGCTATTTAGTGAATGAGTGTGTGTGCTGCATCTTGTATGATATATTTCTTTTCTGCAGAGTTTTCTATATTTGACCCCTATTGGCGTTAATGATGTTCCTATCTAAACTTGATATGAACTATTATTCTTCTGACTGTTCTTGGCAGACTAACACTGTTTAATATCAGATTTAGATAGGATGTCCTACTGTTTTGTCTTATCTCCAGAGTAACCAACTTCTCTGCAATGATGGTGCCTTAATATCATTGTCATTTGATGTTATTTGGACGGTTATATCTGTTAAACCAAAGATTAGGTGATGAAAGTTATGCGATGAGCGTAGCCTTTAAACTACATTAATTTTGTTTAGAAATCAGTGTATCAGTGTTTATTCTTGAATAAATGGACATTCTACTGCTCAGTTTGTCCAAAAAAAAAAAGAAAAAAGAAAATCACTGTTTGGTAGATATTTGTAATGCACATATTCATTGGGGGTATATCTTTACCCCTTAAGTATGGAGGGAATAGTATATGTTCAAAACAAAATGTAACAAACCCTAGAATTTGAGCTATGCCTGTTTAGCCATAATTTACGCCTATCATATGAAGTGCAGCCACACTTATTATATATCATTTTGTTCAGGAGAAACAGGGTTTTCATTTTACATCACATATTTATATATGAAACACAATTTAATATGAATACAATTTTCAAAAAAGTTGAGAAATTAAGTTCTGGATGGCATTAGTTTTACTGCAATAACACACAGATATTTGTGTACTCTCATGAGTATAACAGTACACCCTGTGTATAGGATTTTATGGCATTTTAGAAAGTTACAGGGTCAAATATAGGACTTTCCCCTGGTGACAAATGCTCCTTACCCTGGACGTTTGTCACGAACTCCTGGAGGAGCCTGCTAGCTAGCCTCCTGCCCAAGGACTATGGGCCATATACAAAGACCCTGTTCGGGAATGAACTCTCCCCAGCCTCCATTACCAGATTTCCCTGGGTGCCTGAGAGTAAAGGGAACAGACGCTACCTAAGAGCCAGGTAGCGCACCCAGTATTGCTGCCACAGGAGCTCCCCAAAAGTTGACCGGCAAAAGCATCAAACGCCCTGGAACTGTTTTGGGCATAGGACCAAGTGTGCGCCCAGTCAGAATTTTGACACGGTGGCGTTTCCCCTACACTGTATGGATCTGAGCGCTATTTGGACAACTTGAGTGCTCAGATCCAAGCTATCTGGGGATATAACATTTGTGGTGGTTTCTATTTGTGAAATTATTCACTTATTTTATGTATTTTTAGGCGTTTTCTTATTTTATGTAATTTATGCTTAGTCACGCTGACACTGTAAATTATAGCCGTGTTGGCATGTTCTCCAGCCTCCTGATTTTGTATATAAGTGAGCCAGTTGGCCAGATTAAACGCATCCGTTTCTACCCTTCGTCTAGTTTAGGCTGATGTTTGGGGAATTTGGAGCTATAATCACTGTTTCACAGCGGATATATACTCAAGCGGAGTATAGGGGATCCGTTACAGCCCTTTTCGGTTGTTACACATTGACATTTGTCAGATTGTTTTGCTAAGCCTATGTTGACTTTGAGACCATATGGCAGCCCAGGAATTAAAATAACCCACATCATGCCATACAATTTGCAAAAGAAAAAACAGGGTATTCAAAATGTCCAGCCTTTTGAAGTATTCACTAACCTGGTCACTAACCTGGTCAAAGGGTTAGGAGTAGGGTTAGGGTTACGGTAGGGTTAGGAGTAGGGTTAGGGTTTGGTTAGGAGTAGGGTTTTTGGTTAGGGTTGGGTAAGGAGTTGGGTTAGGGGTGGGTAAGGAGTAGGGTTAGGGTTGGGTTAGGAGTAGGGTTGCCGAAGTGCCGAATTTCGGAATGCCGAACTGAACTGAATTTTTTGGCCATGCACATCCCTACTGCCCAACACACTACCCACACCCAAATTCGAGCGGGTTTCCTATAGGAGTTTAACTGGGGTTAAACTTGGATACTCCTTGTCCTTAAGGCTTTCCATCAGTCTAGTCCTGAATGAGGGAGGCTGCAAAGAAAGTTCAGAATTAAGCACATTTCTGCTGCTCTTTTTAGGTGCATTTCGGGGGATTTAAGACCATCCACCAGCACTTCCGCAGCACTCAGTGTATGGGCTGCCCTGATTGTCCATATGATTACACAAAGAGTACGTAGTTTACATAGGTGTGAGCAGGGGATGTGCTTAGGCATACCCTAATGTAGGGCAAAACTGCCCTTTCTTCCCCATGCCTAGGCTTGTCTGGGCACTTTTGTGGGAATTGGGATTAGTTTATTATGTTGTAGAAGAAAACCTCTGAATACACATAATTATCATTAGGGCAAAATGTTTTATTTTGCTCCTCTGTTAGCTAAATTTGTATCTTTGACGTTTTTTTTTTCTAGGAGCACATCCCAATGTAACGTGCTGTGCATGCTAATGATGGTCTGTGTGGTTGAGCTATGGACATGCCCATGCACTGGACATCCCCACACTTCCTTCTCTAAATTTCGGAGTTGCCGAAGTTGTCAGGTCTATTAACCACTTATTCTGCTTGCATAGGTTATGGCGCAAGAAGAAGGCAGTAAGTGCTCAGTAACGGCTGAGCCCAAATTTACACACTGCCACCTTTCAAAGCAATGTGAGGACAGTTTGTAGCAAATAAATAGTACATATTGAAAGGGAAGTAGAATTTTAATTGTACTTCTTATCGCTGAATGCATGATCTCATTTCCGCATAAAAAAAACAATCACAGAAATCACCATAACCGCTATATATCATTGTAGTTCTAGTGATAGCAGGCTAAGGGGTGAAGTCCTTCTGTTTTCTATTAAGTGACAAAACCATAGGGAGCTTGGAGTATACCGTCAACATGTGCACAGTCTAGGTTTCAAGTGATATATATGGAAGGCTGCTGAGACAGTGGTAAAGGAGAAAATTAATATATAACTAATAAGCACTTTTCAGTAATGCCCATTCAGCGCTTTTCAGTAATGCCCATTCAGAAATATTGTATTCAACTTTAAAAGAATTAGTCACAGCACTAGAAGATGACGGGAGTAGACCGTGGAATTTCAAATTTTAAGGAAACAAACTAGCTATTTTGGTTTAAAATTTGCAAATCCAAAATATTTTTGGTTTAATTAATAACACTGTAAGAAAATATCTATCAAATAGCTCTGTATGACCAAATGTACATGTCTGGTAGCTAATGCAAGCACTGCGGAATTTATTGGCACGATACTTAATAGCCAAATACGCCGTTCGTCTCATTCACCAGTAATCAGAATAGCCGGGGGCCCGAATTTATATTCTTGTTTCAGGAAACTGTAATTTTCATTTAGTCCAGGGTGTGGCAGAGTGAGACCACTTCACAACACCAGCAAAATTATAGGACTATATTAAAATAAAAGATTATTATTATCATTTATATAGAGCCAACATATTCTGCGGCGCTGTACAATTATCAAATGTGGATATCTGACAACAAGTAATTAACATACGGAATATAACAGACAGGAGGTGAAGAAGGACCTGCTCAAATGAGCTAACAATCTATGATATATTGAATATGTAACAGAGAGAGACTGACACCATCACTAGAGTAAATATGGATACAGTCATTGTCTTTAATACAGACTATGACAGACAGACAGACATCTCTATCCATCAGAACAATGTGTACAGGATGAAGTGATTTCTCATTTGTTTATATGCAGTTTCCCATATCTCTGATTTCTCTTGCGTAAATAGTAAAACTGGGAGTGTATGTTCTGTGCCAATGTTTTGCTCCTTGACTCTTCCTTTGTTAGAAATGCTCCTTTGTTTTTGAGGCTTCATAAATAACCTGTCATGGCTGGCCCTCACCCGACTTTCTTGTAGCCCATTCTTTCAGCAATCAGGGATAAAACCTCCATTCAGATTGGTAGCCCTATGGTGCCGAGAACTCCTGTGCAATTTGATCACTAATACAATGTCTATTTACCTGATGTACTCACCGTACCTCCCTCTACTGTAATGTAATCTGTAAAGTGCTGAGTACACCTGTTAGCGCTATTTAAATAAAATATACATACACTGTATACCTACTGCAGTTACCGTACCTCCCTCTACTGTAATGTAACCTGTAAAGTGCTGAGTACACCTGTTAGCGCTATATAACTAAAATATACATACACGGTATACCTACTGCACTTACTGTACCTCCCTCTACTGTAATGTAATCTGTAAAGTGCTGAGTACACCTGTTAGTGCTATATATAAAAATTATACACACACTGTATACCTACTGCACTTACTGTACCTCCATCTACTGTAATGTAACCTGTAAGGTGCTGAGTACACCTGTTAGTGCTATATAAATAAAATATACATACACTGTATACCTATTGCACTTACTGTACCTCCCTCTACTGTAATGTAACCTGTAAAGTGCTCAGTACACCTGTTAGCGCTATATAAATAAAATATACATACACTGTATACTTACTGCACTTACTGTACCTCCCTCTACTGTAATGTAACCTGTAAGGTAATGAGTACACCTGTTAGCGCTATATAAATAAAATATACATACACTGTATACCTACTGCACTTACTGTACCTCCCTCTACTGTAATCTAACCTGTAAAGTGCTGAGTACACCTGTTTGTTTATACAATGTATGTATATTTTATTTATTTAGCGCTAGGAGATGTACTCAGCACTATCCAGGTTACATTACAGTAGAGGGAGGTACGGCGAGTGCAGTAGGTATACAGAGTATGTATATATTTTTTTATAGCACTTATAGGTGTACTCAGCACTTTACAGGTTACATTACAGTAGAGGGAGGTACGGTGAGTACATCAGGTATATAGACATTGTATTAGTGATCAAATTGCACAGGAGTTCTCGGAACCATAGGGCTACCAATCTGAATGGAGGTTTTATCCCTGATTGCTGAAAGAATGGGCTACAAGAAAGTCGGGTGAGGGCCAGCCAGGACAGGTTATTTATGAAGCCTCAAAAACAAAGGAGCATTTCTAACAAAGGAAGAGTCAAGGAGCAAAACATTGGCACAGAACATACACTCCCAGTTTTACTATTTACGCAAGAGAAATCAGAGATCTGGGAAACTGCATATAAACAAATGAGAAATCACTTCATCTTGTACACATTGTTCTGTTCTTGTATTAAATGGGGACAGCGCTTGTTGAGGGAAGCCCCCGTGCCCTACAATTAGACTGGCTGCCTGTGGTTGGTACCCTCCCCCATCCTACAAGCCAGACTGACTGCCCA